TTTTTCAGAAAACTAACCAATAAAATAAGATTATTATGCTTTGAAAAATGTGTGTAGTTACTAGCTTTTGTAATTACAAATGTATATAAATTAGAATCTCTTATTTTGAAGGATATCTGTCATATTAATCTCTTGCTGGATCCAGATGTTATTTGGATACGTTTTGTAATCATTTCAGGTTTGGGATGTATTTAGGGTTGTGCTCTCTACTCTCTGCTTTTACACGACTAATCTCGTTACTGGTGAATCTGACATAAACGAGATGTTGCTCGGTGGAAGACGCAGTATTTGTTGCACCCTGTTGGGTAAAATGCTGTCATTGCAAGACGTGTTTGGAAATGAGGAGGATTTATTAAATGTTTGAAGGTTTTGAGCTGGAGATTATAGAAGAAAACCTCCACATGACTTTTAGCTAGATTATGCATTAGAGTATTACTGAAGTGTGTTTTCCCAGCCCCCCTCTTCCTTTCTCAATCATTCTCTATCAATGTGCCTCTTAGTCTTCCTTCTTCCCATGTTCTCACCTCTGCTTGCTCATTCTTTCTCAGTTGTGGAAATGCCAACGCACAGCTGGGATTGTGCTGATAAAGAAGTCTTTGTGTATGTTAATGTACAGTAAAACTCAGCAAACACTCATGTGTTTGTTTAAGAGGATACATTTTCATTTTAGTATAACAGAGCTGCCATATAATAAGTGCCTCATTGTAGTAATACCTTTACTCACATATGTTTAAGATTAATTAACAACAGAAATATGAATCAATAAAAACACTTCTCTATAAACCTAAACCAAGTCTGATTATCATTATTAATATCTAAGGCCATCTTCATATAGAAGGTCTTAAATATGACCTATTATATTTACTTGAACAGGTTAAGATACTGTAGGACTGTTGGCGATACAAAACATGTAAATTATATTTTTTGCACAAAATCGTTCTTGGATAATGAGATTTTAGTTAGTTCATTTTTAGATAATGTATACTTTATTCAGTTCTGCCTATTTTGAGCCGTTTTAGGGGGTCTTGTCACTTTAAATCCTAATAAGCTGCTGCTGGCCACACGCCCCAATTCAGCGTTTACAATGTCATGTGAAAATGGCTGAAAACAAATGCGCAATTATCGTACATCTTTGAAAAGCATAAGTAGAGCCTCCTGTGCAACCACCAAGATTGCAGCAAGTGGTTTCTAAATGGTAAGTCAACAACAAAACACTTGTCTTTTCCAACAGCCATTGTACCTCAACAAAACCAGCCATTATACAGCGGTAAAACCAGCTAACCAAGCATAATGGAGCTCCACTTGTGTTGCTAGGTAACAGCGAAGTGCCCGTCAAATGTGACTTAACATCCGGGAGGTTTTTGAAATGTCTTTTTATTCCTAGGGATATCTTTATAAGCAGTAGAAAACCAAATGGAATTACAAAAAAGTGCAAAATGTGAATTTTGCATAATTAACACACAATTAAATTTTTATTGCAACTGTAATCAAACTTTAGTGTGGAAGCAGAAGAAAATGTTGACATCACACAACAGCAGAAGTAATATGGGCCAATTTTAAAGTTTTGGAGGAATGGACAGTGTTGTCACAAGTTTATATCAAAATGAAGGGAAGTTTAAAAAAAGAAAAAGAAAATTAAGTGCAGGCAGTGTTTATTTGAGCCATTATTTATGTCCAGATTTACAAAATCATGCTTCTTCTGGTACAGAAATATGACATATGTCAATAATGTAAAAGTCAGATATTTTTTCTTATCTGACAGAAGGTGCTTCAAAAACTATTGGATATATGTTTGATCTGATTTGTGTCACATACGTAAGTGACACAAATCATATTTTGGGTGGGCAGGGGGGACAAATAAGATCAAAACGGGGCCTTTCAGACTGGGGTGAAAAAATCAGATATGGGCAAAAAAATTTGACTAGGGTTGCATTTTTGTGCTGTGGGAATGTAGTCTTAGACAACCATCTAAAATTGTAGATCCAATGATAAATGCAGAATGAAAAAATTGGTCCAAATAAAAAAAAATAGAGCTGAGTTATGTCAGGAAACTGGTTTCTGACTCATGTTCACCTGAGCAGCTTGTGGCTGAGTGTTCTTGTATGAATCTAAGCAACTTTCTTTCATCAACTGAAATCCCCAGTAACATTGCTCACTGCAGAGTGGATTGTTAAAGTTCATGGTAATGTCTCACCTCCATTCCAGGAGCCGTTGTGGGGTAATACTGTTATGGCGGCATCATGGTTCTCCAGCGCTGTGGCCCCGTCCGTTTCCGTGGCATCATTCTCCAACAGGCTGTCCTCCTCCACAATATGTAGCTTGTCCTCGTCGTCTGAGTCTGAACTGGCCTCCAAGCCATTGTTGAAGTTTGTTACTGGAAAGGAAAAAGATATGGACATTAAATAATTCACAGCTAAACCACAAAGAATATAACAGAGGAAGCTTTTGTTTCTCGTCTGTGATCCACATTAAAGGCAATCAGCTGAAATATGTGTTTGGCATCAGAGCTGCATAAAATAAAAATGACTCTGCGTACTCATGTTTCATATTAACACAAATCAAGACAAATTTGAGTGTCATAATTTTTCCTTTGAAAACCTGGTGAAATTGTGTGAAATCTGATACATGTTCTGGATCATTTTCCTCCTTAAATCCAGAATTAGGTCAACATAACTGAAAATTATGTAATCTTAATCTTAATTTGGACAGAAATTAAGATTGTGTTCTGGTGCAGCAATATTAGCAAACTGGGTAAGGTTTTACTTTTTAAAGATAGAAGAATCATAAACAACTGAGTCCAATGTAAACTGAACTGCAACTCTTTTTCTTGGAGAAATTGGCTGGTTAGTGACATTGGTTGATTTTCACCTTAACCGATCCGGACTGATTGGAAATGTAATCATTTTTTTGTTTGCCTTCACGTTATGTTTCAAAATTTCAAAACACTTTGAAATCGGTAAAGAAGATCTCTTTAAGGTGACCTATTATGCTTCTTGTCACTTTAAATAAGCTGCAGCTGGCCACCGCCTGCCCCAAAACTCCACATTTACAGATGCACATGACAATTGCTGCAAACAGATGAGCAACTATACAACAGTGCATCTTTGAAAAGCAGAAGTGGAGCCTCCTGCACAACAAACAAGAATGCAACAAGAAGCTTCTAAATGGTAAATCATCAACAAACACGTGTCTTTTCCAGCAGCCATTGTACAACAGTGAAACCAACTGACTAAACATGATGAAACTCCACTTAGGTTCCTAGGTAACAGTGCAGTGCCAGTTAATTGTGACTCAACAATCGTCAAAAAATATGAACTTATTTCCAAAAAAACAGCTGAGTGAATTTTTTTTAAAGCATTCAGGGTGTTTTTAGAAGCAGTTGAGCCCAAAATGGAAGCATAAAAAACTGAAATAAGTGAATTTTGAATTATAGGTCAAAAAAATCAGCAAAACTGGGATTAGGACATCCGAGTTCAGAAATCATCGACAGAAGTTTGATCAGTGCATCCAGACAATCTACAGGTTTTTCTTCTTGGCTTAAACTTCACAAAAAATAAAGTTTACTCCAGCCTCTTTGATGAAAATTAAAATAAGAAGGATTAAGCTAAACAGCTTTTGGCACACAGATACACACACCAGCCTCAACATTATGTATGAATCACAGAGCTCACTAGTTCTCCTCTGACCCACTGAGAAGACAAAAAAAAAAGCTAAACGACAGCAGAGAGGAAAATGATCTCTTGTTTATCAGCTTCAGGAAGCAAAGCTATTTTACGGCCCGTTGCGGTCAGTGAGTTTGTCTGAAGGGCAAAGATTCATAATGGAAGCTTGTTGTGAAAAATGGACCAAATCATCTGCTCTGACTCAACTTCACAATGTTTAGCTCAGAGGTCACACATGCCTGCAACATGGAGCCACATGGGGTTCAAGTGATGATGAGAAAATGCTTCGGTGGGTGTTTCACCGTCAGCACCTGTGCAACTGCAAACTGGTGCAAGCACATGTGTGTGTGCGTGTGTGTGTGCTCTGAAGGAAAGCTGTACATCTCAGCAGAGGTGCTGCAGACACCTAATGAGGAGGAAAGCTTGGTGTGTTTGTTCCTCGCTGTGACAGCTGCACACACACACACACACACACACACACACTGCGACACACCCTGAGCAAGCTACTATACAGTCATTATGACTCCATCATCAGCCTTCCAGGTTTACGTGAAGCTTTCTGGGAAGCATCATGTGCGGAGATGGGCTGGATCAATGCAAGCCTCTGTGGGTAAAACAGGAGCTCTGGGTGTCGATCACAAGACAGATGATGGAGAGAATATAACACTTGGAAACGCTTGTTTGGTTCCTGTTCCAGTATTATGAACAGGTTCATCTGAAATATGAACGCTACATGAAACATATTTTATGTAAAATCTCCAAAAAAGACAAAAGAATTGAGATTAAAATAGAAAAACTCAAAATATGCTTCAGTGGAAGCCATGTTTTTGGATTTGCTAAATGCCTTAAAGCAGTACGTAATAATATGTTTTACTCCAGTGAGTAAAACAGATTATTGCTTTATCTGTAAGGAAAAGGTCTTTTTTAATAAACTTTTTTTTTCATCACTGAATCACTGAAAAGGAAGTTTGTGACAACTACGGCAAACAATAAAGCTCAACTTAAATATGACTTTTGCTACCCCGATTATATTTCCCACTAGGATAAACAAAACACTAATCTATTTACTGCTTTAGGTCAACTAAAACAAACTGTGAAATAATATTTGTCACATTCTTACTTATTTCCTTCATAAGATCAAGTTATTTTGTGAGAGCAAAATGTTTTTGCAACAGGCAATTAAGTTATGTGAGGTTTGTCAAAAACAACCATGAAATATGTCAATAACAGAATTCTGGTTAGCTCTCATGTTAGTTTTCTTTTGATAAATTATTTTTTTAGAAACTCGTTTCCTGTCAGATGATATTGCTGAACAGTAAAGAAAAAGTCTGATTAAAAACCAACATGATTATATGTGTGAAAACCACTGAGGTTTGGTGAGATGCAGATTCATAATCAGTAGCTGCAGCCTGAACTCAGACTGTTGCAGGAAGCTGGTTTATAAAAACCAACAAACTCTGCTTCTCTTCTTTAAGACATGACTAAACAACCGATAACAAAGGGTCTCTTTTTTAGAATAAGTTATAACCCATCAGCGCTCTTTTACTGCACAAGTAAGCTGAAGTCTTAGAAAATCAATCAAAACAAACCTTCTGTTTTTTCCCCATTCTACAGTGTAAACTGGACTTATAAAATGTAAAAACTGCATGCAATAACTGCAAACCTACATCATCAAAAATCCAAGAGTTCTTAACAGTTGAGGTTTCATAAGTCCTCACTCCATCAGGCTATTTATTAAGCAGGCTTTGTGGAGAGAGCTTAGCAGCAAATCAATGCATTCACCTTGATCAATGTGTTGCTCCCTGTGTATAATATAAACAACTTGTAAAAGCGCACTGGAGCAAAATATTTTATCTAGACCTGATCGTGATTTACTGTTTTACATAAGTGCACAACAGCCTTGTGCATCTTTCCCAGCCTCTAAGTTTGGAGTCACTGCACTACGTCACATCTGTCCAGCAGCTTTCAAAAGCTTTACAAAACAAATCAAAATGGTTACATAAGCTAAATAATAATTTTATTTCCCAATTATCAGTTCTTTTATTTCTTTGTAACCATAGGCTCAAAAATATATAGATAAGTAGTAAATACAAATTAATTCACATAACACCTTCAGAGAACATAAAGACAGTTACAAAGTCGGCCTTCTATCACCTGAAGAACATTTCCAGGATTAAACGACTAAATGTCCCAGCAAGATCTAGAAAAACTCATCCATATGTTTATCTTTAGTCACATTAATTACTGCAACTGTGTCTTCACAGATCTGCCTAAAAAAATCAAATCCAGGATGCTGCTTCGTGTTCTGACTAAAACCAGGAAGACAGAGCACATCACCACAGTTGTAAAGTCCTTCACTGGCTCCCTGTAGCTCAGAGAATAACTTTAAAATCTAGATTTTAGTTTATAAATGGCTAAGCAACAAAATGTGTTAAAGATCTGATGTTATGAACCTTCCAGAGCTCTATGGAGAAGCAGCATTCAGCTTCTATGCACCACAAATCTGGAACAAACTTTCAGAAAACTGCAAAGATGCGGAAACACTGAGTTTCTTTAAATCTAAACTAAAAACCAAGCTGTTTAGAGTTTGATAGTAGCGTCTAGTAGTGAATGGAACATTGATCAGCATATTTGATGTATGAGTTTGATGATGGCATTTGACGTGTTTATTTCTTGTTTCACATTTGGTGTTGCTTAAATGTGTCATACAAATAAACTTGACTTCAAGACAGATCAAGAGAAGAACGGGTGAGGAGGTTATTCCTACTTTTTAGCAGCGTGTAGTTCCCCCAGCAGCAGACAGAGGGCAGCATAGGGTAAAACAGAAATGACGAAACTCCACTGGGGGAACTAGACTCTCTGTACAGGAGCGAGTGAAACAGAGAGACCTGTCCACATCACCATAACAATGTATCAAGTCAACTGTTAACTCCCCATCTGGAGTCGAGGGAGAGAAGTCTAGACAAAAGCCTTCCTCCCTTCCTGCCATCCGTCTCTCTGATTACAACTCTTTCATGATGTATCCCTTCATTATTACGTCTTTCCGTGCGTTGTTGACTTCTGTGATCTGTCAAAATTTTACTTTTCACTTACGCAAGACTTTTTTATTCAATGCAATGTGTGATTATTAGACTCTTCAGTCAAAACTGAGCTGTAATTGCAGGGATCAACACTAACAGCCACTTGCCAGAAGGGTAGCATTTCCCTTTTATTAAAACAGTATCTTGCAGGGTAGAATTTCTAATTTCCTCTCTCTGAACTTTACTTGAACTCATCAAGGAAGCAGCACAGAGTGTTTGCAAAAATTGGCTTCCTAAGCAAGTAAACCCAAGAATTCATTAAAGTTAGAAACAACAGTTCGCCACCATCTCTGAGTCTGTTACACACTGCCTTCGTTTGTCTAGGAATCAGATCAGAAGAAGGAAGCGAGCAGAAAACGGCAGCACTGGGCTGCAGACTATCACACAGCCAGGCTCTCATCACGACATGTGACTACTGAGCGGAAATCATGTGTCTGACACGCCTCAACACTGGACCACATGGACTGAGATGTGGGTCAAAGGTCAGCGCCTCAGCAGTCACCATGGGGGAAGGGATAGTGAAAGGTGGGTGGGCTGAGAATAAACTACAATCAGTCTGCATGGACAGCATGGCAGGATGCTGCTGGCTAACGAGTGGCTCTCTGAGGCACAACATCACTTTAAAGGAAACT